GTGGGTTTGAGACCAGCCTGGGCAACATGGTGAGACCTCATCTCTACAATAAATCAAAAAATTAACTGGGCATGGTAGCACGTACCTGTAGTTTTGACTACTTGAAAGACTGAGGTGTAAGGATTGTCTGAGCCCAGCAAGTCGAGGCTGCGGTAGCCGGGGGCATGCCACTGCACTCCAGCCTGAGTGACAGAGTGAGACTCTTAACTCAAAAAAAAAAAAAAATGTCATCTTGTAGACACTGTCTCCTGGTGATTTTATGAAATCTTAATATGTTAAGCTGAATGAAGCTTGGTTTCCTCTTTTGTCTTTTGGTTGGAAAAATCACCATGTGATGTCATTTTCCAGGATAAGAGGGGTGAGGGGTGTGCCTTTGGATACATTACCATGCCGTGTGTTCAGGAGATCCGAGTGTGCCCTCGGTCATTGGAATCAAGCTTTCAGGGCCCTCTTCTTTTTTTTTTTGAGTTGGAGTCTCACTCTGTCCCCCAGACTAGAGTGCAGTGGCCGCTCCCGGCCACTGCAGCCTCGCCTGCTGGGCTCCGGCGATCCTTCCGTCTTAGCCTTCCGAGTAACCGGAATTACAGGCGAGTGCTGCCACGCCTGGCTGATTTTTTGATTTATTGTAGAGATGAGGTCTCGCTGCCCAGGCGGGTCTCGAACCCGTGGGCTCAGGCAATCCACTCACCTCAGCCTCCCAAAGGCGCGGGATTACAGGCTGAGCCACCGAGCCTGGCTAGGGCCCTCTTCTTAGTCACATGGCATACTATATGATTCTTTTTCAGATCAGTTGGTAAGGAAAATTCAAGATTGAGTTTGCTGACCCCAGTTGCTTTCATTGGAGTTGGAGTTCTTTTGACATAGAAGGAAAATTCTAGGCAGTGGTTCTGCTGACTGTTTGAAAACCCAAATTCCGCTGGGTGCGGTGGCTGGTGCCTGTAATTCCAGTACTTTGGCAGGTAGAGGTGTGAGGATTGCCTGAGCTCAGGGATTCGAGACCAGCCTGGGCAACTTGGCAAGACCTCGTGTCTACAATGAATCAAATACTTTCAGGGTGTGGTGTTGCATGCCTGTAGTTCCAGCTACTTGGTAGACTGAGGCGGAAGACTCTCTTGAGCCCAGCAGGTCCAGGCTGCAGTATCCATAATTGTGCCACTGCACTCTAGCCTGGGCGACAAGAGTGAGACTCTGACTCAAAAAACACAAGAAAACAAACAAAAAAAATCCCATAAATTCCTAGCCTCACTTATCAGATATCTTGTTCAGAAGCCAGGGGTGCATTTGTGCACAGCCAGGGGTAATACCCATACCCGCTTCATCGACAGGGAGCCCTGTTGTTTTCCTGCACCTACGTCACCCCAGAGGCAGGAGCCAGGGAGCTAGTGCATGACCCACTGCCCTCAAGGAGACCACCCAGGGGTCTCTGTAATCTTGAGTGTTTATGTTCTGGGCATTTTCTAGTTGCAGATGAGTCTGGAAAAAAAGGAGAAGAAGAAGAAGAAGGAGAAGAAAAAGAAACACAAGAGACACAAGCACAGAAGCTCGAGCAGTGACCACTCCAGCAGTGAGGAAGATCGCAGCCAGGGAAGGTGAGCGTGCAGAGGCCAGCCTCTCTCGGCACTGGCTTACTGGCTCATTCACTCATTCATGCCACAGACATGAACCAAACACCTGCCCTGTGCCAGGAGCTGGCAGGCACTGGGGCATCAGTGGTGAACACTCAGACCTGGGTCCTTGCCCACAGAGCTTGCTGTCTAGTACTGGAACTCTTTGGCCATGCTGAGTGTGGGCAGGTCTCCTGCACGCTTCTGGTTGGAGACCCCTAACAGACTGACATCAGCCTCAGAGATCTTAGGTCGTCTGCCTGGGTATAACCCTTGTGTCTCAGCTGAGGATCCCTTCAGGACTGAAGTGGGCTTTACGTAAGGTGTTTTTGAATGGGTTAGTGGACCCAAGTGAGCCCAGACTGCCTGTTTCCTGTGGGAGCAGTCACCTCTACGGCTGCTGACTCTCTATTAGTCCCTGGAATAGCAGCATGCTATGCGAGGAGAATGCATTCGGGCATTGGAGCTGAGAAGCAAGGCCCACGGGTCTCACAGGAAAGCCTGATTGCTGAGGCACCTTCCAGCACAGACAGTCCAAGCAGGCACATGCTGCCATGTAACATCAGGAGGTGGGAAGGTCACAGTGGAAGGAGTGCAGGTTTCAGCATAGAGATTTCTATTTTTTTTTTTTTTTTTTTGAGTTGAGTCTCACTCTGTCGCCCAGACTGGAGTGCAGTGGCCGCTCCCGGCCACTGCAGCCTCGACCTACTGGGCTCCGGCGATCCTTCCGCCTCAGCCTTCCAAGTAGCTGGAATTACAGGCATGTGCTACCACGCCCAGCTGATTTTTTGATTTATTGTAGAGATAAGTTCTCGCTGCCCAGGTGGGTCTCGAACCCATTGCCTCAGGCATTCCACTCACCTCAGCCTCCCAAAGGCGCGGGATTACAGGTTGAGCCACCGAGCCCGGCTTAGCATAGAGATTTCAAGTGGACCTTTATGCAATGAGTCTGTGTATTTTAATCTTTTAGATCTCAGAAGAAGATGGCAAATTCTTCTGCTGTTTTGCCTAAAGTCCCTGGATATGGCTTACAGGTAGGAGTGTGGGCTTCTTGCAGGGAGTGACTGTGGGGCTGTGGAATGTGCCACAGCGGCGAATATGGATAAGCAGGGAGGTGGCCAGTAGAGCCCAGTGGGCTGCTGGAAAACAGGCCGGGTCCTCGCCCCTGAACCTCTTACTGAGGGCCCTCTGAGCAGAGACGAGGCCGCCAATGGACCATTAGGCATGCTGTCTACTCCTCTGCAAATAATTTACGTGAAATGCACACATTTTTGGTGTACAAGTTGATGTCTTTTGACAAATGTATGTTTCTCTGTATTTATTTATTAATTTATTCATTCATTAAAGAGATGAAGTCTCTCTGTGTTGAACTCCTTGACTCAGGCAACCCTCTCGCCTTGGCCCCCAAGGTGCTGGGATTACATGTGTGTGTCACCATGCCCCACCAAGTATTTTTTAATTTTTGAGTGAGGGGTGTCTTGCTATTTTGTCCAGGCTAGTCCTGAATTCTTGAGCTAAGCAATCTTCCTGAGTAGCTGGGACTACAGGTTAAATCCACTGTGCCTGACCTGCCCTTCATGTGTATATATATATATTTTTAAGTTTTATGTAGGGATGATGTCTCACTGTTGCCCAGGCTGGTCTTGAACTCCTGACCTCAAGCAGTCCTTCCACCTCAGCCTCCCAAAGTGCTGGGATTACAGGTGTGAGACACTGTGTCTGACCAATCCTCTGTATTTTTAACCTTCAGTCCTGTCCTCCATGCTTCTGCCTCTTACTGCTCCTTAGGCTCTCGTGAAGAGCTGAAACGTGTATTCTTGTTTTTTTTGAGTTGGAGTCTCACTCTATCTGCTGT